AGAGAGTGACAAATATTTTGGACCCCTTTAACTTAAAAATATTGCTGGTAAAACTAAACGGGCACCCTCTTTCCATATGGCTCTCATAATAATGTTATTTCCATCAGATGACAAATGCTGATGTGCATCTCCTCCGTGCCAGGCACCTCGATACATGAATGGGGAATTCCAAAGTATTTAAGACATTGTTCAATTTCCAAGGAACTTACAAAAAGTCCCAGGAAGGTAGAGGAGAGATAAATAAGGAAGCCAAAGCTACTTGGAAAACATACAAAGAGAAGTATACTGCTCTGACAAAACTTTTGTCGCCTCAGTTATGTTAAAGTGCTTACAGTGTCTATTGGTCAGGCCCCTCAAATTTCCATCCTTCTAAAGTACAGAGTTTTGACTAACAATGAAATGACAGGGCAACAAAAAATAGTCTAATGAGTGATTTTTTGTATGTGGGTCTTACAAACCCACAAAGCAACCATAGATATTACATTTAACGAGCTCAAAACACCATGTTCGCTCCCTGATGCTAAAAAGGAATGTGATTTTTATTCTTCTTGATATTTTTTTTCCTATAAAGCTTTAGGCACTTATAAAAATACTATATACATTGTTCCAAAATGTTTGTGAGGGGGATTTTCACAACAGCTCCCCATCTCTATTATTGATACTTTAGTTCTTGTGATCCTATTCTACATAGGTAAATGAAGAATGATTGATTAATCTAATCAAAGATCATGCCCCAGAAAATAAAATTCCTCCCACTCTCTGTAGCATCATTTTCAAAACAATCATACTTGATTTAAATGTACAACTATATTTTAGCTAAAAGATCAAAATCCATGTAAATTCAGTAAACTCAGGATCATGCTGTGAAACAAACATTTCCAAAGAGAAACTTCAAGGAATGTGCACAAAATTCTAAATTTCAAAATTCTAATTTGACATATTTCTTAATCTTTTACTTTACACGCTGAAATGTGTAAATGTTCCAATGCTTACATTATTAAAATTCAAAATCACTCCTATTGCTGTAAATTTAAATTTTATAAGAACTTCAGAAGCATTAGAAATGCATACAGCCTTTTGATGTTAGGTTTGGGGAAAAATAAAACACATATATTGGGCAGTTTCAAAAATAAAGCTCTACATCCGTGTAGTTCTTTGGAGTTCATGGAGCACGATCACTTTTAATCAGAGCACTGAGTGAGTCACCACTGTTCCTAAAGAGGCAGCACTGGGACTGGTGGAAGCCAGTGGACACCAGTATTGTTCACTACCTTGAGAGAAGGTTTGGATTTTTGTGGTTACTGGACCCTAACTGAGGAGATGGCCTGATCTGAGAAGGAGGTCAGGTAACATGCATTTTTATTCACAGAATGAAGAGTTTTAGACACCAGCTACATACTTCTTACTGTGCTAGGTGCTTTTGCCTGGACTATATGCTCTCTGCCTAATATGTGGGAAGATATTACAGTAAATATAAATACACTCAAAACTTGGTTACTGCTTTCCAGAGGTTAGTTGTAACTATCACCTAAAAAAAAAAAAGGAAGACTAGTAGAATATATGAATTATCCTTTCCAAATACCAGCTGCTCCTATATGAATGTAGTTGGTCTTAAAACTTATTTTAACTAATAGTATGACTTTGTTCATATCTTCACCAACACAATTAAAGGAAACCAAAAATATTTCACCCCAAAATATACTTTTTTAGCATAGTTCCACATGGCTATTCACAGAGACACAAACACAGAAACGGTTGAAAAGCTACCTTTTTATTTAGTGAAATACTTTGGAGAAACATGACTAAAATTTTACTCTTTGTCTAAATGGATCTTGGATGGTACATCCCTAGAGGATAATTTTTAAAGAACTATCTTCACTATTCAACTCCAGTATTTACTTACAAGATGGCCAGGTCATCACATCATAAATATTCAATCAACAAGAATGACTGAAGACATTCTTTTGTTTTCAGGTTGTCAAGTATGACTTATAAAAACAAGAGCAACACAACTCCTATGTTGGGAGATCCTTCGAAGGTTAATCTAGCCTACATGGTAACATCATACAGTTAAAATATGAATTTTATCAGAAGTTTTCCAAGTGGTGGTGGAATCTCTCAGACCATGCTCTCCAGAGTTTGAGGACCCTCACGATCTGTGCCCACTCTTTCTGATTCTGTCTTCTAGCGCATGCTTATCTCCTCAACCAGACAACAAAATAGGCAAAGATTTTAAACTTTATTAGGAACTAAGCCAGTGCTCAATAAATATTTAGTAATTGAGACATACTATGATATTCTAATTTTCTCTCCAATTTTCTTTTTTTCTGTCCACAATTTGAAACAACAATTGCACATATGACTTTCTAGGGAGCCTAAGTTCTTTTTATAAATGTAAGAAACTTCATGGCTCAGCAACATAGCATCTGCTTACAATTTTCCTGTAGTATTTTTCCTGCCAGCATCCCATCACTAGCATTTATAATGATTATAGACTTAACAAATTCATAAAATTATATAAAAAGTCTTTCCAGATTAAAAAAAATTCTTTGTTTTTTCTTGTTGTTTCAAACAACTTGCCCTTCTTCATTCTCTTTTTTATTTATAACAGATGCTGTCCTCTTAAAAATGACAGTCTATAAAATAGAGAAATTACTGGAGTTTTTTTGCTCAGAGGATTTTTTTTATCATCCCTCCTAATGTTTAGAGAATGAATAGAGTCAAAGAATAAAGTTTGAGACCTTAGGGCTAGTGAGATATTTAACTTTCCTTCACATTCATTGATTATTTTAAATAGGAAAAGGAAAAAAGACCATGAAAAAAGTTTACGTAATTTATGTGCAGTTTTTCATGATAAATATGTTTACAGTGAAAACAAACATAGAGTAAAATGTGACTTTAGTTATAGGCTTCATTTACCTCCACATACAGGATTATTTTCATATTTAGGTATATGAACTTTCAAAAGTGCTAAAGATACAGATAAGTAGGTGACCACACATCCTGTTTCTCAGACAGTCTTGTTAATATCTCTTGTCTCCTTGTCCTGTCTCATTAGCATCTATAAACTGTTTTGGTTTGGAGGATACATTTATGGTCACCCTAGAGATAAGACATATCAAAATTGTGTGAAAATAGTGTGACCAATAGCTAGCTAAAGTACCTTGAAATGATGAACAGTTTTTCAAAATACTGTCAGAGAAATAATTTTTCAGTATATTTTTATATATTTTTAATAGTATTTTCATTGTTGGGCATTTAAATGTGTTAAAGAGACATGTTCCAAAAATTCAGTATCAAATGCAGAGTAATGATAATAGGATCATTTCATCGATTAAAAAGTCTTTCATTTCAAGCCATTACTAATTTTCACATACAGACTTTCAAAGTTTCTGAAGTTAAACAACTTTAGATCTCATGAAATATGAATCACCTAAAAAGTCAATTTAAAAAGATATTTTGAAATACTTTCAATTTTTAGACTCCTTCCCTAGCAATGCTATTCTAAATGTTAAAAATCCAGAAAAACTATCCCTAATTTTATTTTTAAATAAACTTTTTTCTGACTATAAAAGAAATAATACATGTCCACTATAATAAATTTTGAAAACACAAAGACAAATGAAGAAAAAAATAACAAACCCCCACATCCCAAGAGTCAAAGATAGCAATGGTAATCTTGGTAATACGTTAGCATATTTCTTTCCAGATATATATGGATGTATGAGTATATAGCTATATACACATACACTTACATATTAAGATGATATTGTACATAAAATTTTATACCCTGCCTTATTTCTTAGCATCATTCACAAAACATAATGCATGTGAAAGTCTTTGTTTAGAGTTTATTAGAGTAATAAAGTTAAAAGACAATGAAATTATCTCATTATATAATTTTTATCTTGATTTTTAGGTTATCACTGGAAAATGTAACTAATGCATTAAATTGCTCTAAATCAATTATATTAAAAATATGTTTACAAGATAGTCTTTAGAAAGATTAAAATGCAAATGACTAAAATCACTTGAGGAAAATGCAGAATATTAGCAAATGAAAATTCAAAGAGACAATATCTGCCACTATTAAATTAAGAAGATTCAAAAGGGCATTAGAAAAGCAAATGCTTACAGGGCTCTGTAAAGTTACGTTTGAACACAGAGCTTGTGCAAGGAAATAGCAATTGGTGCAAACATTTAGTGCTTGGCATACCACAGGAGCTCAATAAATGTTTGTTGGGTGAATAAATGGGAATCAATTTGTCAACATGTATCAAGACAAACTGAATATAATTATACCCTTTGACTGATAATCTTAGTTAAAGGAATATTTACAATATATTCACTAAGGTTGTCACTGCAGTTTTCTTAAAAGGGAAAGAAACATTGGTCATAAATAAATGTCCAAGTTAGTATAATGGTAAAGAAAATGATATAGGTCTATAGAGCCATGGAGAATTAATTTTTACATTAATTTAACAACTATATTAAAATCATAAGAGTCCTGCCTGTAATTCTTAGCTTAAAATGACCAAAATATTTAAAATATTGGTGTATATAATCTCTTGGTATATATTTTATTTCATTCTTTTAATAAAATAATCATTAATGTTAACATTGAAGAAAACAGCTACATTTAAAAAAACGTTAAGCCCAGATGAATAAACTGTTATTTCCTTCCAAAATATATTTTTATAGTCAATCTCAAAAGTGTTACTCATCTGTTTGTCTACAGAAGATAGGGTTAGGGCATCCTTTGATAGTCACACCAATGGCAAGAGAAACATTCACGACTTCTTATTTTCCTAGTGCCTTGATTTAAATAACCCTGATGTCTCCTCTTACCTAATCTTAGCCGAGCCAAGTATAGAAAATTTGTTGAATCTCCTCTCTCTCTCTCTTTCTCTCTCTTTGAAATGCACACACTTGTGTGCACACACACACAGGCACACAATTTGGAGGGGTAACCCTTTAAAAAATAAGAAAAGCCACCGTACCTCAATAAGCTCTGATGGTTCACTACCTTCCTCCACCACGATTAGTTTAGATCTTCCTTTCCTTTCATTGTCCCGAATGCCAATGGCCACCTGGCTTGCCTTCAGCCGTTCATATTTGTTGCATGAGGAACCACACCACTGGTAAATTTCCTAAAAGAGAGAGACAGATCTTTTGACCCCAAGAATATGTGGAGGACATTCAGCCTGGTGTAATACTCATCGTGATTAATTAGGAAGAAACAAAAAGGTATGAGAAAGAAATATAAATGATGTATTGTTGAGGTATATATAATTGTGTATATGTTTAAATTATTCATTATTCTGTATCCTGTTGCTTTCAGTTGGCATTATAAAGTAAGCATTTCTTAAACATGAAAAATATAAGTACATATTTTACCATTTGTTGTGTATATAATCTACTAATTACATTTTGTAAAAGTAAATATATGGATTATAATAAATCTACCATATTTCAGAAAGACAGTGAAGAAACTGTTATAATAATATATTCTTAATGATCATAAAGTTAATATGACACTTTTTTGAAGTAATTTATTTACTTATTTATTCAAATTGACAAATACAAATTGTATATATTTATCATGTACAACATGATGTTTTGAAACATGTATGCAATGTGGAATGGCTAAATTGAGATAATTAACATATGTAAAGCAATTTAACACTTCTTATCAAGGGTCATAAAAAGAGTTAAAACCTTTGACCCAGTAATATCAATATTGGGGACTTATTTTAATACATTATTTATAAAGAGAAGAAAAAAACTACACAGACAAGGGTTTTTATGGCTATGTGATTATATTAGTGAGGCACTGGAAAGACATTAAATGTTCAATAACAGGATAATAGTAATATAAATTATGATACATAGAAAAAATTGGATACTTAACTATTAAAATTATACTTTAACAGAGAAATATAGAAAAATAGAAAGAGAACAACAGTTTGATATATTGTAAAGTACATTAGCTGACATTTAGATTAAAATACTATTTTAGATTTGAGTAGTATTAATAAACAACGTTCAGAAGGTATACAGATACAAATGTAAAATAATAAAAAATATCATTTTCTCCATTAAGTGTGATTTAACAAAAGAAAGAGAAATTTAATGGTATGCAGGCCTGGAGGTGGTGTGGGAATAGGCATTATCACACATTATTTGGGTGTTATAAACTGACACACGCTTTGTTTGAGGGCAGTTTGGCATCATATCAAAAATGAAATATGCTTTTAATATCAGGAAATTCAACTTCTAGGAATCTATCTTTCAGAAATATTCAAACATGAGATACAAAAACAAACAAAACAAATGCCTATCAATAAGGGGATGGCTACGTAAATGTCATTATAAGGATACTGTATAGACTCCTCTCCAGTGGTTAAAAATTGAGGAAAATGTTTAAATACTGATGTAGAAAATTATTGAAGGTATATCATCAAGAATTCAATAAAGACACTGAAAAATATAGTTACATCTAAGTAGAAACAAAAAATATAAGCTCTGTCTTCTGTTTGCAGAAAAAAGCATTTAAAGATACATAGTTTTAACAGATTGAAGGGCGCATATATATGCAGAAAGAAAGCCTTCAACTTTTACTGTACCTAAATTAGTGTCTTTTTCCTTTTCTTAATGTCACATGTATTTATCAGGTGCCTATTATGAGGTGTATTCTGAGCATACAAAGACTAATAAGATAAAATTAGCAAGGAGAGATTGACATGTAGACCACTTTGCTGATAATATATTTGTACCATGCTTAGCTTTCAAAACATGTTTCCACACATCTCTAGTCACCTGTGGACAGGTGGTTAGCAAAGTGGTTAAGTGTGAAGCAGATGGGTCTAGGATGCCACTTTCTGGGTATATGATAGCGTGTTTGCAATTTTTAAAAAGAGCGAATAAATTAGTAGCACTAATAATTTTAGGAATTCAAATCTTTATAAGAAATAAAATAAAAAGGACTATACCTTGCAATCCCTTTCACTCCAGAATGTGGTTTACTTATTCAATATGGCCAAGGGGTGTTTCTTTCCTGTTTCTAAGAGAATAGAGCACTTCTATTGTTTCCTCTCTACCCTCTTTTCTACATACATCTGGAAATTGGAATATGAGACTCATATGTGGAGCCCATTTGAATACCATGCCAAGTTTACAAAGAGTGAAAACAAATGGTTCCCAACGATCAGTCAACTCTTAGCCACTGAGTATTAAAATCACTGGAGTAGGAACGTGATTTTTAAAAATACAGAGCAGTGAGCCCTACCTATAGGGACTCAGGTGTGTTCTGGGCAGCTGTGTTTATTGAAAGCTTCCCAGGAGAGTCTTGCATTCAGCTAGGGTTAGAACCACTGTTGGTTGCCCCGAGCACGTCCCACCTGGCACGCACAGCAGGGAACCTGTAACATCTCATTATTCCCTGCAGCCCAGCAGGCTATTCAAATGATTCTTTTCTCAGCAAATCTAAGGAAGCAAACTTCTAATAATTATATTTTATATTACAGTGAAAGCTTTCTAGCTTCTCAGGCTTAGCAACTTTCACAACTGACTTGCTCTGTATTTATATAATCATCTAGCTGATGTTTATGTTCTCGTTACCTTAGTTGTATAAATGACCTCTCATCTACTTCAAAGAGATTATATAAAATACTAAATTTTATTAGCATCTGTAAACATTATGGAAGCTCAAGAAAATGTGTTTTCAAGTGAATTGAAGATAACAATTTCACAAACATAATTATTACCTGACAGAATTTTATAATATTCTATGGATCCCAGAATATATTCTATGGTATTACCTTGGGTTGGGAGTTTTTATGTGAGTATCGATTCATAGGTAAATTTAGTTAAAGAAAATATTACTTACCATTACTTAGAGACTACAGCTTCTATCTTTAAAATAGCCAATACATACATAGGAAAGACTCATAAAAAGAGTAAACCTTTTAAAAGTGAAGTTATCCTTTTAACTCAAACATGACTAAATCATTAAAGAAAGTGTTACAGAAAATTTCTTACTCAGCATGAAAATGAATGATTTGTGTTATGCTTTCTCTTACTTTCACGTTATTTTGTGCTACCATTGATATACAAATGACATATTCTTATTTACTCAGTTTTCAATGGTTAATTCAGATAAGAAATGTAATAAAATAATGTCTTCAATTGTAAATTGCTAAAAGTTAGAATTGTTTAAAGAGTCATTATTAATTAAAGCACCATTTTCATTCAATCTCATTAATTTTCTATGCAAATAGAATTCATTCAATGGTGGCAGAAGCATATTAAAACTTGCTTTAAAAGTTTAAGCAGAATTTTATTAATTCATTAAATATGAACAGTTTATATTCCACCATGTGTGGATGATGTGTTTAAGACATCTCACTTTAACAGAGCTCTACTATGCTGAAATAAGTGTGTGTGTAGCTATTAATAAGCTGTACTGCCCAACACTTAACTCTATTCAGAGGTAGTTGGTGAAGTCTACCTCACTACTCTGTGCACAGGGAAGCTTTGTATTCAGTTGGCACCACGCTTGAAAAAACTCTCTCAGGATGCCTTGTTTCTAGAGGGAGTAGACTAAAAAAAAAAAAAAAAAAAATCCTGTATAGAGCTAAAATCAATATGAATTGATGTGATATTTTCATATGCATTATTATAACAAAAAGTTTTCTCTACAATTTAAATTATTTCATTTATAACACTTCATTGGGATTTAGCTTAAAAAGCTTTCATCTATCTGACTTAAGTGTGCTACTGAAAACTATAAAGCAAACATGGTTTCAGAGGCAATCATTTTACCCTCTAAGATCCTAAGGCATTTAACAACTCAACACTAGATGCCATATTTCTTTGGGGAAAGGAAACAAAAATTACCTATAAATATGGAAGTATACATTCAATTTGGAGTGAAGTCCACTTAAATTTTGGCAGAATGTTCTTGATGTATACATTGCCAATGAACTCCCTCTAGTAACAGTTTGTGGAACTGTAACTAACTCTTAATATACAGACTACTAAAGGAAAACAAAATTACTCTGCAAGGGAGAAATAAGGAAATAAAGACAACCTGTTTCTGGCATTAGTCTGGTCTACCAGTAACAAGAAACAAAAGCAGGTGAGTAATATTTATAGAAACAACAACATTCGGGGAGGGGAGACCACCACTGCTCTCAAAAACCAGAGGCTTCTAAAATTTCCTTTAAACAATGTGGTCAGAATTAATAAGCAAAACATCAGAGCACAGCCAAACATGATTTGGGGACAGGAAATAAGAGCAAAAATAAAACAGTGCTCAATGATTCCCTTGAAGGGAAGCAGAATTTCAGAAGCTGAGTAAAGGTGCACCCAAAACAGCCTGTGTGACACTGACTCACAACACGCGCAAAGAATTCAGCAGGGACTTGCTACTGTTTTGCCCTTTTCTGAGCTGTTTACTCTAAAAACACCTAAAATTTTATAAAAGGAGAATGGGAGCCCAGATCTCTTCCTCTTCTCTGCTTCTATTGTCTTCGTTTTTACTGTGTTTAGTTTTCCCTTGGATCTAGTTAACCAAATACTGAAATTCGTTAAGATATTTCTTTAGCCTAGAGGTTATCTAAGCATAGCTTTAAGATAATGATCTGTGAGATACCTCCAGCAATCTAACATTTTTATTTAAAAAGTTTAAAACATGATTTCTTTGGTTTTTGAATAAACATTTATTTATAACCTATTTGGTTGTTTCCTCAAAGCCAAGCCAACTCAATATCCTTCAATGACATATATATATATATGTTGTTTAAAATAACAACAATATATGTATATTGTTTAAAATAACCCTGAATGAAGGATGGAAGGCTTAGTGACCAGGGAGAAAGTAATTGCTATTGAACTAGGGCAAAGCAGTGGAGATAAAGAGGTGAAGGATCAAGGGATATTTAGAAGGTTAAAGTCTACTGAATTGGTCAATAATGCCATATGGCTGTACACTGAAGGGTAAGGGAAAGGGGAAAGGACTTGGACAATTCTAGCTTGACTGCTGATAGTGATGCCACTCACTGGCACCAGGTCATCAGCAGTGGGAAGGTTCTTTGCATTGCACCAGTGAGAGTAAGTGAAATTACCTTCTCTGTACTAGTTAAAGTGG